GACAGTAGAGGGGGAACCTATAATGTAGGAGGGTGCACTTGCTTGGAGCAATGTCCTCAAGCAGGCATGAGAGGACAAGGATCTAGTGCACAAGTAGAGGGGTGGCCTTAACCAGGAGCAGGGACCCTTCACGCACAGTGACAGGAGGCAGGCAGAGCAGTGGGTGCAGCTGCTGGTAGATAGGTCAATGTAGCACTGGGAGTCTGAAGAAGTTCTGTTTGCTTATATTTTCTCAAAGACGTAGGAAGCAATGTCATCAGCTTTGAGGGAAGATTGGGAAGAGGGACTAGGGATGAGGGTAGAAGAGAAAGTGTGAAACAGTCATCAGGTAGGCGGAGAGGGATGGACTCGCACCTGTGGTGGGACTGCAGGACAGCACTAAGGACGCACCTGAAGTTCACGGTTTTGAACTTAGAGTGAGCCCAGTCGGGGTAGTAATTTTTCTCAGCCCCATTCAGCTGCACAGGTCTGATGCAAAGCAGGCTGGGCCTTGAATTTAACCAGGATTGGGGTTTTGCCAAGCAGGTATAAAGAAGCAAAATGAGATAAGGGAGATGGGGGGTCTGCAAGGGAGGCATTATCCTGACTTTTACAGTGGCAGCTGCCTCTGAGCCAGCCCCTGGCCCCTGCTCAAAGTCCCTTCCCTGCTGGTGCCTGAAAGCCCACCATGGTTCCCTGCTGTGGGTTATTTGGCCTTCCCTCTGCCTACATCCCAAAATGAGCTTCTCAGAGGGGGGCCACAGGTAGCCACCAAGACCTGGACAAACGAGCTTCCCACACAATTGTTCCTCTGACCTGGAAAGTACCTCCGACTTTACACGCTCAGAACTGCATTCTCCATCCCCTTCCCAAGCCATCACACCACAGCTTCCCCATCTCTACTTAGACACCAGTGCCCATCCATTCTGCCTCCTAAATTTATCCTTACTCCATCCCCTTCTTTCCACCCCCACCTGCCACACCCCAGTCCAAGCAGGGCTACCATGCCACCAACTCCATTCCCTCTGTGCACCATACGCAGCAGCCCGAATCCAGTGCCACACATCTTGTGCTGGACTACATCATGGCCTCCTGACTAGTCTTTTTTCCACCCTGCTGGCCCTGCCAATCCCACTCCATCCTCCTCAGAGAGCCCTTCTGTGCGCTCACATCTCCCCCATCACTCCCCTCTCTAAAACTCTACAGTGGCTCCCAGTGCCCTTGGCCACATTCCAAGCCAGCTGTGATCTGGGCCCCACCCTCTTTCTTCCTGCCTTAATCCCCTCTCCCCCCTTGTACCTCTCACTACTTTCTCTGGGCCTCTCCCCAACTCTGACAGCACCTGCTCTGAGTTGTGGCTCACCCCACCCCCCACCCCGAGGTTGTGAACTCCTTGAAGGCCCTGTCAATGTGAGGATGGTGTGAAGTAGCAGTTCAGTCAGGTTTGCTGACGTGGTGCGTGGATGACCAGGTGGATGAAGCTTCTGGAGGTAGGGAAGAGAAAGGAACAGGAGTGAAACAAAGGGGCTCCTTAGCCAAGTGACCTAACTTAGCACCACCTGTTATAGGACAAGCTGATGACATGTGCTTCCTGACAGGATGCAGTGGGAAGTACACAACATCACCTATGGGATATTCTTGCCAAAAAATGTTTAACCTGAATCTACTCATGAGGAAGCAATAAGGCAGATCCAGAATGTGGGACATTCTACAAGAGAACTGACCAAGGCTCTTTAAAATGACAATGTAACAAAAGACTTAAAAAGAAAAAAAGCAGAGGGATTATTCCAGATTAAAGGAGACTAAAGAGACATAACTAAATGCAATGTGTGATCTTTGATCAAAAGAATTTTTTTAAACAGCAATAAAGGACATTCAGGGACAGCAAGAGAAATCTGAATATGGATTACATATTAGGTTAAATTATATCATTAAATTTCTTGGGTATGATAATGGTATAGTCATTACGTAGAAAAATGTCCTTGTCTCAGGAAATTCATGCTGAAGTATTTAGAGGCAAAGTGTTATGATGTCTGCAACTTACTTTCAAAAGGTCCAGAGAGAGAGAGAGACAAATGTGGGCTAAATGTCAACAACTGGCAAATCTGGCTCTATAGGTGAAGGGTATATAGGTGAGTGTTCATTGTACTTCCAGGTTTGACAAAACAAAAAGTTAGGGGGGAAGGAAGGGAGTGGAGGGAGACACTCCAAAGAGGGGAACTCAGGGCCAGGCTTGACGGAGCAGGGGGCAGAGGAAGAGGGGGCAGAGGAGAAGGGGAAAAAGGAGGAGGGGGCAGAGGAGAAGGGGAAAGAGGAGGAGGGGGCAGAGGAGGAGGGGGAACAGGAGAAGGGGGCAGTCCTTCACTGCAGCAGCCCACAAGCTGGGCTGTGGGCCTGTCCTGGGCTGGACACTGGAGTGTCCAGGGTCACGGATGCGGGGCCAGGCAGACACAGCCCTGGAGTGGCTCATCACCTAAAGAGGGTCAGACCCCAAGGAAGCAGACTTACCTGTGAGCAAACCCACTTAGGAGGACAAGGGCTCTGCAAGAAACAGCCAGGTCCCAGGGAGACCAGCAGGGCAGCCCTCAAGTGGGCAGGGCTGGCAGGAACATGGGCCCCACCCTACCTCTGCCTGTGCTATGGCAAGGAGCTAGGTCTGGCCCAGGCCCACCCCTCCCCCCAAACACCCCTCAAGGGGCGACAGCCTAAGTGTATCCTCCCGTATGAGGAGCCAGGCTAAATATGGAGCCCCAGACATAAGACGCCACTCAAAACAGATTTTCCTGGAAAAGACCATCTGGCAAAGGATGTCTAGAGCATCATCTGTCGCGAGAGGCAGTGTCATTCTCCTGCAAGCCGACACCCTGAATGGGAATGCCTTGATCCCGCCCCTCTAGAAGACCCCAGCTTAGTGCCTCAGTTTCCCCAATGTCACCCCCTTGCTCTGGATGGAAAGGCACTCAGTCCCACCTCCCTCTTCACTTGTATCTCCAAGGAAGAAGAGAACGAGATTAGGACACAGGTCCAAGCTTCAGACAGTTGTGCCTAGGTGCAAATCCTGATTCTGCCACTTACTAACAAGGTGACTTTGAACAAGGAGCTTCTCCTGAGCCTTAATATCCTCCTCCACAAAATGGGAATAATAGGAGCACCTCACTCTAAAGGCTGTTGCGCATATGTGAGTACTTATCTTAGTGGTACTTAGTACTCTATATATGGAAGCTGGGCAAGGTAATGTCCCCCAATCCCTCTCTCAGTCCTGTTCTTCGTTCCAGTTAGCTTTGCTCCTTCCCTTCAGGAAACACTTAGAATCAGGCCATCTTGGGGGGTGCATGCCCCACAGCTCAGACCAGCACGAGCAGAAGGAGGGAAACCTCTCAGCTTGGCCCAGGGCACTCCTGAGCTGTAAGGGACAAGTCACTCAAGCATTGAGGCTTCAGCCCCGTAAGAGACACCAGCAAGGGAGGCCTTCCAAGGACATTCCAGTCATCCTTCTACCTTTAGCTGGACCACCACCCACCTACTCACCCTCTGAGTGGGTGTGGGAACCTTCTGGTTCAGGCCACAACCTGGGGACCTGCCATGTTTCCCCGAGGACCAAATTTCGCAGTATCCCTGTTCAGAAGCCACTGCCCCTCACCACATCTGGGGGAAAGGGGTTCTTGGCAGGGCAGGTCTTTCCTCCAGAGATGTGAGGTGGGGAGGGGAGGGCAGCTGGCCCATTTTATTGATTCAGAGATCACAGGTCACAGAACTTGTGGCTTCCCTGGGAAGCAGGGTTCCTAACCCCCCAAAGGAGAGGGTAGAAGAATGACTGTAACTGCCCACGGCCAGGGGTTGGGCTTGGAGGTGCTCCCAATGCCCCTCACCCACTCTCCTTCAAGCTGCCTGAGTACTCTCCATTGAGCAGCTCTTATTTCCAGGGTCTAGAAGAAGGAGCTGGGGAACCCAGGAAAGTCCAGATGCCTCTCCCCAGACCCAGGCTGACCATCTGCCCTGGCCAAACCCTGCGCCCTCCCCCTGCTCCCCATTCACTCACCATCAAGCTCAGCCTGGCTTATCCTGAGCCTGCCAGGAATCTCAAATCCACTTTCATTGTGGCTGGTGCTTCTGCCCCCAGTTCTCTTCCAGGGCCCCCCCAAGACGGCCCCAAGAGGAAAGGATGGGCTGAGGCAGTGGCCCCCTGGGCCTGTGCAGAGACAATGCCCCCAGTTCTGACTCAGGGAACCCTCAGATCCTCTGGGGACAGCAGGAGTCAATATACCTCCTCCTAGGAGGGGGCTAGTCAGGCAGGGGGTTCCCACATCTGGACTCCCTGCCCTACCCCAGCCCCAGCAGTGGGCTCCAAGGACCCCTCCCTCACCCTGCGGCTGCCACAGCCATTATGTGCCTCCTCGGCCTTGCCTGCTGCCTGCCACGCCCCCATGGAAGCCCCTGCTCTAGCGGCAGAGCTGAGAGCCAGCCTGTGAGGCCTGGCCGCCAAGCCAAGCTGTCAAAGTTGGGAAACTGGAAACAGAAATAAATCCTCAAAGCTGCTCCGTGATAAAGGTGGCTGCCGGCAGGCCCGCGCATCCAACACCCCGGGTCCTCTGCCACCAAGCTCTCACTGGCACCCCCTCAACACACAGATATACCCTCAGATTATACAAAAAGGGGAGATAGGGAGGCAGAACCCAGGAGACAATTGGGCTGGCCAGTCCTGACCCCCCCCCGGCAGGCTGGCCTGAGGCTCTCTAGTGGCGCCCCGACTCCCTGGCCCAGACCGGGCCATCCCCGAGCTTCCTCTCTCGGCCCCATCTCCATGACAACCGTATCCTTCGATGCTCCAGCCGCCACGGAATTGATCTCAAAATGTAGCTTTGTTAGCAAACCCGGGCGGGCAAGGAGGGCGGAGGGCGGCGCCCTGCATGCGGCCCCCCCACCCCTGGCCCCCCGGCCCGGCCTCCAGCCTGGCTTCGGGAGGGGCGGGGTCCCGGAGCACGCGGGCCCTGGGGACAAGGTGGCCCCGCGGTCCTACTCACCGCTCCTGGTCCCAGACGCTGGGTCCAGCCTCTCACGGCGGAGCCATGCAGAGGCTGCCGCTGGACTGACCGTCCCACTCCGCCGCCGCCTGTCGGGGCTCCCGCGCCCGCTTCTGTCCCTTTAGGTGTCGGAGCCGCGGCTGTGGAGAAGCTGAGCGGAGATGGGGGGACGGACGGCAGGAGGGAGGGAAGGAAGGAGGGAAGGAGGGAGGGAGGAGCGGGAAGGGCGGGGAAGGGCGGAGGGACTGCAGGCGGGGGGGCGGCCGGAGAGGAGCCTGGAGGCGACAGCGGCCACTCTGGCTGGCCGGCCCGCCGCGCCTCAGCACCGAGGGTCTGACGGTGCCCCCTGACCCTGCCGGGGAGGGCGCAGCCAGCCCCGTCCCGCAAGGCCCCGCCCCCGGCCCTTTAAGAAAGTGGGGGAGGGGAGCACTACGAGGTTCCGCCCCCCTCCCACCTCCAGCTCAGCCGGGCCCCAGCTGTCTTCTAACCCTGGCCGGTCGGCGGGCCAGACCCAACCACCGCCCCCTCGGCAGGACCCTCGGGCCCCCAGACCCTGAGCCCTCAAGTCTTTGGGTCCGCTCGGCCCTCCTCGAAGCGACGAAGGGAGCGGGTCCTTGCCTTCCTCCCACAGTCTGTTGGCGATCTGACTCCTTGCTCTCCACGCCCCCACACACCCCGCCCCGAGAAAGACCTGACTGGGACAGGGGAGCAACGAGCAGTGCAGGGGGCAAGCTGGACGATCCCAGAGGGAGGGAGACCGAGCCCTACCTACCTACCTACCCAAAGGGACCGACAGACCTGGGAGAGGGGGTGAGAAGTGGGGCTCGACAGAGCTGGAAGTGAGGCTGCAGAAGAGAGTGACAAAGGGGAGAGACGCTGAGGGAGGGACAGGTGAGGAGTGGGTCCTATCAAGGATGCACAGTCCCAGTGCCAGGTCAGGGGGAGGCCACCCTAGCCAGACAAATATAGGGTGCTCTGGGCTGTGGAAACCATCTCCCAAGGAACTGGCCCCACAGACCCTCCTGCATGCTAGTCACTACCTTGAAGCCCTCCCCAGCCCCAGGATCCTGGCTCTGAAGAAGACAGCTGACAGTATTCTACCTGGGCCAGACACCAAGAAGAACTGGCCGGCTGTGAGGTCCCTGCAGGGCAAGATTCCACCTCTCAGAGAGATAATAAAAGGACCCCCACCCATAGAGACCTGGAGAGACCAGGAGCTGGGGCCGGGGGGGGGGGGGGGGGGGGGGGGGGGGGGGGAGGTGAGCAGGCCCAGCCCTACAGAGAAGGGAGATCAGGTTAGAGTCAGGCCTGACCACAGGAAGCCACTTTCCACCTCCCTCCTTCCATTCCAGCCCCCAGGGGCTCTTCTCTATACCCAGCTCTCTCCCGCCTCTGGACCTGTGCAGGTGTTCCACCTTCTGCTCTGTCAGGCCTGGATCCTGCTGTGCCCAGTGAACTCCAACTCAATCCTCAGATCCCTGCTTAAATGCCCCTTCCTCCATGAAGCCTTCTCTGCCTTCTTTCCACCCATACACATACAGACCTTAGGGACCCTCTTCTTAGGGTGCAGAGGGTGAGAGGAGAGAGAGAATTTACTGGCCTATGAGGGGTGTCTAGGCTGGGCAGGGTGGCAGTAGTTGGAGGTGCAGGGTCTGAGCTGTCCTCAGCCTCCTCCTTCTGCAAGCTGGGCCACAGCTGGAGCTGGGGTTTCATCAACCATACTGACACTTCTGCTATGAACTGTGTGCATCTACCGTGTGCCTGAGTCCACATTAAGTGCTTTCTATCTGGTATATTCAACCCTCAGAACAATCCTACAGCCCACTTTACAGATGAGAAAACTGAGGCTGCAAAGGCATAGGCCACTTGCTTAAGGTCCCAGGAGGTCTGATCATGTGGACACAGCTCGACAGTTCAGAGGGCACTTTGGCCACACCCCTTCACTGCCCATCAAACCCTAGGACATTCCCACAGAGCCCAGAAACAAGGGGGACACTCTACTGCAGATGCCCAGGATCTTCTTGAAGGGCACAGAGGGAGCATGGCTTCCCTGCTGTCCCTCCCTCTACCTCTGCCCTCTGCTTACCTGTAGGCAGGGATGGGTGACAACCGGCAACCAGCAGGGGCTGTAGGGGGAAGTGGAGGTGACAGGGCTTTGCTACCACACTCCCCATCTTCCGGACCCATGACCTCCAGTCACAGCTGGACCACCTTTCTGAGATTCCATGTCCTCATCTACCCCACGAGGATGGTAACAGCCCCTCTCTTGTGGGATGTAAGAGCTGATGTGCTCAGTGCCCACCCACCCAAGACCTGGCACACAGATGCACTCAGCCGGCCATGGCTATTCCAATTGTAAGGAGTGACTTACTCATGGATGGATTACTTCATCTCTGTCCACCTGGATGGACTGTGAGCCCCTTGAAGACAAGGTCTGCCTTGTTCACAGTGTACCCTCAGCACCTAACACATGGTATGGCTTAATAAATATACGTGGAGGGAGGGGAAGACAGGGAGGTAGGGAGATACTGTCTCTCCACTTAATCTGGCCTGGGCTGGTGCACACAACCTAGTCCCTGGCCTGGATCTGCTCCCGGTCCTTCACAGCTCTGGGAGCCTGTTGCAGCGGGCATGAGCCTGCCAGGGCCAGGAGACCTAGGTTCTAGTCTGGCCCCTGCTGCTTCTTGGCTGTGTGGCCATGAGCAGCGACATCCCCTCCCTGAAGCTTACTTTCCTATGTCAAGTGGAACTAGCTCAAAGGGCTGTCACAAGGCCACAGGTGGGCTCTATGTGAGAGAGTGCTTTGGGTGCCATGGACGCAGGAGAGAGGGTTATTATTCTTCTTGTAGCTACTTTTGCCTCCTGAAAGAGAACAGGGTCTACATCCCCCACCCAGCAGCCAAAATGCACTATATTCCCCAGCCTCCCTCCAGGGAAAGAAGAATGGAAGCTTCTCCCGTTCCTCCAAGGGACTTCCCTTTCCTCCTCCCCACCCACCTGAGGGTGAGTCTCAGGAAGGCAGGTGCCGGAGGCCAGACCAAAGACCCCCACACTGAGGGACCGCTCCCCATGGCTTACTGCCTGGGCCTCGGCTGGTCCCCAGGGAAAGCACGAGTGACATATGGGAAGGCCCAGTCACATTGAGAGTGGTCAGCACCCTCAGGCAGGGGATCCAGCTCTCGGCCCACTCAGCCCACTACAGCCTTTGCCACAGTGAGGCCTCTACCTGACCTCCTGCCTCCCCAGGCCAACTGGAGGAAGGCATCTGGGTCCAATCCTGGGCTTAGAGGAGCCTTGGCTCAGAGAGCATCTGAAACACCCAATTCTCCCATATTCCAACTGGAAGATTGAAATCCAGGGAGGGGAGGCTGGGTAGGGATTCCCCAGGCCAATCCCAGAGTGCTCAGTGAGCACCTACTGTGTGCCCAGCCATGCTCCAATCCCGCCCTTGCCCCCAGCACCCCCAAGATAGAGATCCCAACCCACCTTCACAGTGTCCCGTTCTGACACTTCCCACTTCAAATGTGATGTTCTAGGACCCCTCCCACCCAACTGCACCCCAACCATTTCTATTGACCTCGATATGCTTGTGCTGGTCCCCTGCCTGGGATGCCTTCCCTTTCAGCCATCCTCACTTGGCTATTTCCTCTCAACCCTATAGCCCCCTCCAGCTACTGCATCATTTCTTTTTCCTCATTATAGCAAAGCTCCTCAAAAAAGTTGTCCATGCTCTCCAGTTCCTCTCCCATTCTCTTTTTATTCTTTTTTTTTTTTTGAGGAAGATTAGCCCTGAGCTAACATCTGCCACTAATCCTCCTTTTTTTGCTGAGGAAGACTGGTCCTGAGCTAACATCCGTGCCCATCTTCCTCTACTTTATACGTGGGATGCCTGCCACAGCATGACTTGACAAGCGGTGCGTAGGTCCACACCCGGCATCCAAACCGGTGAACCCTGGGCCGCTGAAGTGGAACGTGCGAGCTTACCCGCTGTGCCACTGGGCTGGCCCCCTATTGTCTCTTGAATGCACTCCAATCTGGCTCTCATCCCCCCAACCCACACTCACTCCACAAACACCACTCATCAAAGTCACCAACACAGCTGCTGAGCACAGGTGTGCAGCTTGGGCACTGGACAAGGGCACCTGAGGTGCACGAGAGGTGGAGAGGGAGCTGCAGTCCAGCCTGCTGTCCTCTCACCACACTGTGTGCCTGGTTCAAGGCTACATCTAGCTGAGGGAGGGACACCTTTTCCTGTATACAGAGGGGTCTCCCTTCTGTGTTCCTGCACAGCCAGGTCCACCTGGAGGGGCTGCATCTTTCTAGTGTTTGTACAAAGGGGCTAGACTGACTGTGGTCTGGTCCCCAGTGACTGCTATGATGCCAAATCCAAAAATCAATTCTCAGGCCTCATCTGAACTTGTTGGCAGCATTTGACACACTTGCTCCTCCTCCTTGAAAGATTCTTCCCTTGACTTCCAGGCCTGGTTTTCCTCCTCCCTCCCTGCTGTGCCTTCTCAGCCTCCTTTGCTGTTCCTCCCCGATTCCTGACCTCCAGATGCCAAAGCCCCCAGGGCTCAGTCCTCTGTCTTCTCCCTCTCACTCCCCAGGGGTGATCCCACCTTGGCTTCAGAGCTCACCTAGCCCCCGATGGTTCTCGGTGTTTGACTCTCCAGCCCCAACCTTTTCCCCTGAGGTCAGACCCTCACGCCCAGCTGCTGACTGGAAGTCTCCACTAGGATGTCCAAAGAGCAGCTCCAGCTTCTCCCAACCAACACCGACCTCCCCTTCTCCTTGCGGCAAACATCACCACCATCCTTCCATCGATCAGGCCAAAAACCCAGGAGTCACCCTCACCTCTCTGTCTCTCACTCCCCACATCCAATCCCTCGACAAATCTATGGCATTTACTTTCAATGTATGTCCCATCAGCTCCACTGCCACCGCCTGGCCCAAGCCACTGTCATCTCTCACCTGGACTATCACTGTAGCCTCCTAACTGGTCCCCCTGCTTCCACCCAGCCCCACTACTGACATTGCCCACATCAATTACATGTAAGTCACATCATGTCCCGGATCTGAGCCAGCATACAGTAGGCTCCCAAAAGGTGATGAACCAAAGAATGGATGAATGAGAGGTCACAGACAAATCTATGCATGGGCCATGGGACTCTGACATGGCCTAAGGGAGGGAAGCCATGCAGTGAGGAGCTGGCAGGGAGCAACAGAGGCCTGGGGAGGAATCCTTGGAGCCTCAGGGTGTTGTCTGTACAATCTCCAACACTACCTACAAATCCTGGGTTAGCTGGGAGGCAGTGTGGGGAGGAAAGGCCATCCTCACTGGACAGCCCCTGGCTGTGAGGATGATTCATTCATTCATTCAACAAAAATTTGCTGAGCACCTACTGTGTGCCAGGCCCTGCAGGGAGGAGGGGAGCAGACAAAGTCCCTCCCTCCACAGCTCACAGCCCATCAGATGATTTCCCAGGGGAAATACCCCAGTAGGTGGAGCTTCCTTGAGCAGGCAGCTTCACCCCACTTTCACAAGATGAAATCAATTTTAGGAAATCAGTTTTATTAGTCTCCTGCCTAGAACCTCCCTGGACTGTGAACTCCAAAGAGGGCAGGAACTGTGTGTCTTGTTATTGCTGGATCCCCAGCATCTAGCAAGGGCCTGGAGCATAGTAGGGCTCAATAAATATTGGTTAATAAATGAGTGGTAGAATATGAGCAGGACCCTGAAGATGGCAAGGATTTGGGCTTGCAGCCAAAAGGAAGAAGGGCAAGTGGGGAAAGGCCACAGCCTGAGCAGGTGAGAGGTAGGAGGAAGGTCCCCTGGAGGAGAGCAGGGCCATGGGCAGGAGGGAAGGGCGACTGCTCAAGCTGAGAGCTTCCTGTCTCACCCCCTCCCCCAACAAACAGGGCCCTGCCAGCACTGGTCCAGGGCTAGTGGACAAAGCCCCACAGGAGTGCCAGGGACTTGCAGTGCCTAGAGCCAGCCGGCTGCGGGCCCAGGGCACGGGCAAAGCCTGGCCCAGAACTTTGTCTGAGGGCCTTTGTGGGCCTCTGGGAGCACGTCCAGGAGAATGCCGGGAACTGGCCAGGGTGGTATGGGGTGGGCACTCCCCTGCTTCCGGAGGTCCAGCTGGCCATCCAGGCCTGGGTTAATGGGGGGTTAGGAAGAGGATTCCCTTCTGCACCACCCACCAAATCCTTAC